GAAAAATTTCTCGAGCGACCTCCTATCAACTCATGTTCTCCTAATACAAAGTCGAAAAATTGGCCAAAATTTTTTTTCGTTCAAGAATTTCGATAATTCCAGGAATATGACGTCATTTCCAAGAATTGGCAAAATTCCTGGAAAAATTTCTCGAGCGACCTCCTGACAACTCATGTTCTCCTAATACAAAGTCGAAAAATTGGCCAAAAATTTTTTTCGTTCAAGAATTTCGATAATTCTAAGAATTTGATGTCATTTCCAAGAATTTTAGATATTCCAGGAATTTGACATCATTTTTATGAATAATCGAAATCTTTTAATAAAATATTAATTTTATATGCAATTCTATGCAAATTTTTTTGGGAATTTAATATACTTACCTTTTATACTTACCTTTTATACTTACCTTTTTAATACTTACCTTTTTAGACATTTCACGTTCAGAATAACATTTTTTAAACATTTTACTTAATACTAATTATAGAATTTGATATACGTACCTATTTTATACTTACTTTTTAAAAACTCAATCCTTTAAACCATATGCTTACAGAATACTGAAAAAAATACAAAAATATGTAAGAATAGTATGAATAACAAAACTAATTTATTGTATAAAAATACATACAAGATAAATATATTAATGTTCATACTTACTCTATTATTTCTCATCTTCATACTCTATTATTTCTCTTCATATTATCATATATTTCCATTTAAGTAATTCTTAAACTATAATTTAATCTATGTATTACATACTTCTTCTTTTGCTGCTATAAACTTCCAATTGAATAAATTTTACCGATAAGTTAGATGCCTATTGAAAAATTTTAATCAGTGCCATCTCGCGTTTGGATCATCGAAGCTCCGATTTGTTAATAGCATAACATGATAGGCAAGGAGGTATACTAACTCAAAGACAAGAAAAGCAATATTGAGCGAGGAAGATAGAGAGCATCTCTCATCCTTTTGCATGAAAAATTCTAATTTCGCGTTTTTTATGCAAAATTTCGATACTTTTAAGATCACATATTAAACTCAAAACTTTAGACAAGTTTCTCTTATCAATTTTAATGTGATATTCTTTTTCAATTATTATATATTGGCGATTAAATGTATCTATTAATATATTAAAGATATATTATAATTTTTCTATCAATATTTCTACATTTTTGGAATTTGTAAGTTCATATCTTGAAACTAGAACTTCAGGCAAGTGTCTTATACCAATTTAAACCTGAAATTTATTTCCATTAATTATTTATTAATAATTAAAGTATTATATTTGTAATATATTGAAGATGCTATATTGAAAATTTAGTAATTGCTAATTTTCTAATGATTTTTGCATTTTCAAGCTTATATATTAAAGTTAAAGTTTCAGGCAAGTTTCTCATATTAATTTTAATGAGAAATTCTTCTTAATTAATTAATTATTAATGATTAATACA